CTAAGTGGCTGGGACTCTTGGGCTTAAGTGATTCTCTTGCCTCAGACTTCTAAGTGGCTGGGACTACAGGCACCCGCCACAACACTTGGCTATATTTTAGAGATAGAGTCTCACCTTGCTCAGGCTGGTCTTGAATACCTGAGCTCAAGCAATCCACCTGCTTCAGCCACCCAAGTGCTGGGATTACATGTGAGCCACTGCACCTGGCTATTTTAATATTTTAAAATATTTAAAATATTTTAATTGAATACCTTTTTATCTTGTTTTTTAAAATTAGGTATAATTTATATTCAGTGAAATGGATAGATCTTAAGTTGTGCTCCTAAGTTGGATATTCTTGTCTTCCTGAAGTATATTTTTTAGGATAGTGAGGGCAATTTATAAGAGTATTTTTTTAAAGGAAATTGTGCCTAAGGAGCTGCCTTGCTTTGATTTTTAGGTTTTCACCAAAAGACTGAACAGTTTGATGAGTTTTGTCAAATGCACACACTAGTATATGCCACAATCCTATTAAGGTCTAGAGAGTTTTCTTTTCTTTTTTCTTTCTTTTTCTTTGGAGACAGAGTCTCACTCTGTAGGCCAGAGTAGAGTGCCATGCATCATGCATCATAGTTCACAGCAACCTCAGACTCTTGGGCTCAAGCCATCATCCTCTTGCCTCAGCCTCCTGAGTAGATAGGACTACAGGTGCCCACCATAATACAGATGATTTTGCAATGAGTAACCTTATGTGTATGTCATCTTATACATGTGAAGTTAGTTCTAACCGGCTAATTTTTTTTTGAGATAGAGTTTCAAGCTGTCACCCTGGGTAGAGTGCTGCGGTGTCATAGCTCACAGCAACCTCCAACTCTTGGGCTCAAGTGATCCTCTCACCTCAGTTTTTCCATTTTTAGTAGAGACAGGATCTTGTTTTTTGCTCAGGTTGGTCTCAAACCCATGAGCTCCAGCAATCAACCTGTCTCAGCCTCCCAGAGTGCTAGGATTACAGGCATGAGCCACCACTCCTGACCCAGCTAACTTTTCTGTTTTTATTTATTTTATTTAATTTGTTTTTCCTTTTGGTTGCAGTTGTCATTGTTGTTAGTAGGCCTGGACTGGGCTCGAACCCACCAGCCTGGTGTATGTGGCCAGTGCCCTACTCACTGAACCATGGGCACTGAGCCTAATTTTTCTATTTTTAGTAGACATGGGCTCTTGCTCTTGCTCAGGTTGTTCTTGAACTCCTAAGCTCCTCGATCTCCCAAAGTGCTAGGATTACAGGAATGAGGCACCATACCCAGCCTGGTCTAGAGCATTTTCTTTACCTCTACAAAGTGCCAAAATGTTTCATCCCAGTGAATTCTTGCCTCAAACTCCCAGGTAATAATTGTTCCACTTTCTGTTGTCTACCTGTTTTAGAACTTCACATAAATGAAATCATTTCAGTAAAATACAGTACTAATTTATTTTTATTTAACTAAGTTTTTTAAAAATAAAATATATTAACTGCTTTAATAGAAAACCTGGATTTTTTTTAAGTTAAATCATAGTTGTGTACATTAATACAATCATGGGGTATAGTGTGGTATTTTCATATACAATGTGAAATATTTTCATCAAACTGGTTAACATAGCCTTCATGTCATTTTCTTAGTTATTGTGTTAAGATATTTATATTCTACTTTTAGAAAGAGTCACTTGTACCCTTGAAAGATAAACCATTGAGGTGATCCCACCAATCACCCTCCCTCCACCCATCCATCCCTCCCCCTCCCCATATTCTTAGACTATAATTAGGTTATAGCTTTCATATGAAAGCTATAAATTAGGAAAACCTGGATTTTTTGACCCTCCATTAAAACACATGTTATTGTAACTCACCTCAGAGATGACCATTAATATGTGTAACACATTTGGGGAAGTATCAGAAAACTAAATCGTGCATACCCTCCCTCCAAACAGTTTTAGTCTATAATTTTGGAGGAAGGATAAATGGAACCCAATTGCTACTCTTTCGTAAAGTGTAGGATCTCACTGAAGCCAGAGAAAGTGGGTTTTGTACATAATTATGGGCCTAGCCATGAACTGTGCAAAGAAGACTGGTGCTTGGTTGCTACTTTCCCCTCATATGTCTTGTGGGTCTTCTCATTTTAGGCCTCAAGGCTCTCTACCGCACTCCAGCCATCATTGGCTTGGTGGTCTTGGTGGTGAGTGTTGTGGTCCTCGTGAGTATCACACTCATCCAGATCCATAAGCAAGAGGTCCTCCCTCCAGGACTGAAGGTAAGTGCTAAGGAATTGTGTCGAGAGGAAGAAATGGGCTATGATGTCAATTATTCTAAAACCATGAGTTAGAAGAGTCCTTTCCCTCTGCCTCTAGATGGAGCCAGGAGAAAGAGGTGTGTAGCCCAAGGGAGAAACACATGGGTTTGTGATGTTTGAGGCTATGGATTGAGGGTGATGACACCTTCTCTAAGGACAGCATAGCCTGCTTTGACTTTTGATGGTGAAAACCAAAGCTAGAATTTGAAGCTTAGAATTGCAGATGGCTACCAAAGATTACCAGTTAGTGTGGTTTCTTTTTTTTTTTTTTACCAGTTTGTCCATTCTCCCAGACCACCCAACTCTGATGGTGAGTCAAAGGCCAGGAGATCTAGGCTCTTCTTCTTGCCTAGCCCTGGTGAACAAAAACTCAAGGACTTGAGACGGTCTCCCTGAGACATATTTGTGCTACCTCTCTTGTATACCATGATCCCTCTCAGCCTCCCCCTTGAAAATTACTTAGGCCCTTGTGCTTAGTCCTGGAGGTCTCTCTCAGCTTTTGGTAAGCTCATCCCCAAAGGGTCCCTCAGATGATTTCCTGTAAGGATGAACATCATAAGAGGATGAACAACCACCCCAGCCTTGTCTCTGAGGATGCCATTGGAGATAAGAAATGATGAAATTAACAACTGACAAATAAAAGGTGAAGAGAGTCAGTGACTCATTCAATCATTTTGGGTAAAAAAAAATGCCAGATAGTACATATTTTAGGCTTGGAGGCCCACTTATAGTCTCTGTTGCACACTCATCTTCATTTTTTGGCTCATTAAAATATACAGTAATATTCTGAAGTTAAAGAATAATGAAATACCCCCTCCAAAAAATATACAAACTTTTTTTAGCTAGAGGCTACCAGGACCAAGTAATTCAGCTGTCTTTTTTGAATCTCATTTAGCATTTACACTTGACCTCATAAGTCCTTTCTGTATCTTCCTGCTATCAGTGACTACTCAAAGGTCATATTTGAAACACATAGAAGTTTTTAAAAGAAAATAAATCAACATTGTTTTGGGTTCTGTGAATGGATTTGATGTAACATTCGGAGGCTACTTTCTTCAAGGATTAGAGTAAAATCTCCTTTAGACAGGGCATTTGCTTCCTCAATAGAATATTTACTTAAAAACCTCAGGCCACACGAATAATGCTGAATAAAAAAAGGGGAAGAAAACCCTATGCAACTTATCTTGTTTTTTTGCAAGAGAAAAACAAATTACCTGGTTGTCCAAAGACATCAGCTGAGGCCTAGAGAATTTTCCCCATGCTCCAGGTACTTCCTTCTTCTTTAAACTACTGTATATAAAATTGGGACTGCAACTTAGAGCGATCTTTCTTTCCACTTTGCACAGTGCTTCTCAGTTTAGTGAGCACAAATTTCCCTGACTTATCTCATTTAGCTCCGTGCAAACCATAGAAGATGGGCCAAGCAAGCACTGCGGCCCCCACTTTTCAAATATGGGTTTGGCTGGTGAATGGCAGGACCAGACTGAAACCTGGTCCCTCCTGTCCCCAAGGCCAGGGCTGTCTTCACTGCCACCCACTTTTCTCTGATGTTGAGTTATGGATGAAGGACCTAGGAGAGATTGGCCTTTGATGTGAGAACTTCGTCTGCTTTGCACAGAAGGAAAGGCGGGGAGGATGGATACAGATGCCAGAATGTTTGTTGAATTGAGGGAGGAGAGTTAAGGCTAATACTACTCACAGGCCCCAGTGACTAGGGTTCCCCATTTCACAAGGACCAGCTTTGGCTGCCCTCCAGCTTTATCTCTCGCCATGACACAAAGGACTGTGCCAACCTGGAGCCCATGCTCCCCCTTGTAGAACTGCTATGGCTCCTGGGACCTCAGAATCCCAAATCTGTGTGGACTTGTCAAGGTCAGACCTCACTGCTCGTCTGAGGGGTGGTCAAGAAGCAGCAGCTTACAGGGAGTATAGACAGAGCATGTACGTGGAATAGGAGCTGTCCACACGCAGGTGCACAGAGCTTTCACTCTGTGGATTTGGGTGGGAGGAGAACAGGTTTGGGGGTGAAGGGGCAGTATAGAAGACTATCTGTAAAATATTTTCTCAGGTGCTATGAAAATAAGAATGGGCTGGTTAAGAAGGTTGGTAGCTGACAGCTTCTGTTCATTCTGAGAGGTGATTAGTAAGCCCTCTATTCATGCTGAAGGGACAGGGAGGATTGTATGGAAGACTGGAAGAGTAAAGTGAATAGAGAAATGTAGAGATCCCAAGGCAGTACAGAGGCCGCCACTGAAAGAAAGGATCACACATGCTTAATGCCACTGTCTTAGATTGGGCTCTGCTACTCAAAGATGTGAGTGTAAGCAGATCAGCTGGAGCTGATTCAGGGGAGCATGGGCAGGGGATACGGAAGTGAGATAGGAGGTCAGGCAGCCAACAGGGGTAGCACTATGAGGAACTGGGGCTTAGCCCTGCTGGGGACCTGGACAGCCAGTGCAAAATTCACCACAGAGTCATCCTGTGTCAAGGGACATATGGAAACACACCTCGCCGTTGTCCCACTCAAAGGCATGTTTATACTGTCATCAGTCATGTGGTTGAAGGTCTGCTCCCTAGGTGATGTTAACTCTCTAGTACTTTTGGCATATTATGGGCGTGGATAGGCTCAAGCCACTAGAGAAAGCCTTCAGGCAGGTGGGAGGTGGATAATTATTCACCATAGTAGTAATGTCTGAGGGGATATAGGCAGAAAGTCATCAGTGACAGTTCCACGTAAGTAGTATTGTTATCATCCCCATTTTACAGATGACACAACAGAGGAACAGAAAGGACAAAGACCTTCTCATTGTTTTACTCAGATTGAAAATAGCAAAATCAGTATAAAGGAAAGAAAATAGCAGAAAACAGTGGCCTTAACCAAGGGTTCGGAGGGACTAGAAGACATACCCTCCACCAATTAGCAGACAGGTCAAGGAGATTTGAAATGTCTTCAGAATCTTGCTGTCAGACCCCAGCCACAGTTGCAGGGGACTGGACTTTGTATAACAGGAAGATCGACTCAGAAGTTCTATTCTGCTTAATTGGGTGGATCAAATGTAAGAAAAAACCAGATGTTCTGGGCCAGTTGAACCAGAAACAGAACAACAGCCCTGGAAGAGGGTGTTCAATATGTATAATCATTTTTCTCGGGGTGTCGAGAGACTCTCTGTTTTTGTTTTGCAGTGCATGCTGGGGGTGGGGAGACTGTTGCAGGGGATGAAGTCGAATGAATACAAGACCTTTTGTATTCATTGTTGAATATAATTTCCATGTTTGTCATGTTTCTATTTCTTACAACTTGTTGTGCTGCTGACAATTGTTCTGAGGGGCCAGTTCTACATCAGCCTATCTGGAGAGCCCTGGAATGTTACATGAGACCATCAGGCAAGGCTGTGATATCTGGCTATTAGATCCAACTTTGGCTTGCCTAAACTTGGTTTACGTCAGTTTAAGAGCAGAACTATTACAACTCAGTCAAGGGGCGAAAATGTCCCCAGTCTCTTGTGTTACTGGTCTAACCTGCTCCACAAGCTTGAAGAGTAAACATGATGCCATCCCTTGTATTTTTCACTCAGGCCCCCACATGCTTTAGTCTCATTAAATCTAGTATCTAACTCTTGAGTCTTCATGCTCCCCACCCCCAGTCAGAATCACCCAAGAGCCTTGGAGCATCTCACTCCAGTGACTAACATCCCAGTGCCATTGCTTTTCGCAGCCACATGATGACAGTCCTGAAGACGGGTCTTGCACAGTCTTTCAGGTACAGGCTTTTTCCTGTGGCCTGCCCAGGTCCCATTAGTTCCCTATACTGGGTCCAAGATTATAGGCTACACTCCCATGTTCAGCCATTACGCTCCAAAGCACAACCACTGGGCCAGGCTGTGTTAAAGTTGTTCCCTTCTCACCCTCATTGAGCCTTGCTCATCAGCTGCATTTCTGGTAACTTGTGGCCCATCCTACTCTTTCCCTCTGAAGCAAGGGTTGGATAATTGGTTTCTTCTTTTCCAGAAGGTTCTAGTCTTCTTACATAAATTGGTCCTCTTTTCCTCCAGCCACTTCTGCATACTCCTTAACTAAGAATGTGCTTCCCAGGAACTTTCTGTCTAAACAAAGTCTGTAATATCATATCACGTACCTTATTACTGAACAATCAGACCATTAGATTTGGTTTCCCTGGAGCTCAGTGAAAGCATGGTAGCTATAAGTATAGGTTTTAGAGCCAGTTAAATCCGGGCTTATTTTCAGGTCTGTGATCTTTACTTAGTTTTGTGAGCCTCAGTTTCCTCATATGTCAAATGGGAATGATGACCTCTGCCTTTATAAAGCCAATAACACTTGTTACTTTGTGCAATGCCTAGCATACATGCTCAATAATGTTTATTTTATTACTAGTAGTCTTATTGTTATAGAAACAGTGATAATAATAACAAATAAATCTAAGAAAGCTGACCTTAGGACTTTGCTTTTGCTTTGGACAGATCACACAGTCCCTAAGTGCTGGACCAGGGAGTTTAGTATTGAAGGCTGTTTCCTTTCAGTTAACCCACTGAGTGTGTCTTCAAATCTACATTCAAGGCATGCCTTTTTCTGACACTGAATTAAACCCTGGGTTACTAATTACTTTTCATCCAAACATCACTTCCCATCCCCTGTTCCCCCATGGAACCATATTGACTTTCACTCATTTAGGCAAATGAACTGTGAAAATTGGTTAAAGAGCAATTTTTACACTTTTGAAAAAGTCAGTGAATGATGGCAGGGCTAATCAGTGTTAATTGGCAGTAGGTGGGCCCCGTCAGCACATCAGCAGGTGCCAGAGAGGCAGCCATTTCTCCAGGCTCACTGAGCAAAGTCTGGCTGCTCCAGACCCTGGTGTGGGCTGGATCCCAGTCAGTGTTACCAATGAGAATGGATATTCTCCCTTCTTTCTGATCTTGGCCCAGTGACACTGGGCTACATACACAGGGAAAACATGCATCATTTGTGAAAAGTCTGAATAAAGGTTTGGGGAAAGGAAGGTGGGTAAGAGTTATTGTCTCTCTCTCTTCTCTTGTTTCATGGGTCAGCACCAGGTATGCCAGGGCTGGTGGGAGTGGTGGTGCTCGGGTCAGCAGGAGGGAGGAGAGAAAGAAGACTGAGAATCTTGAGGCCTGGACCTCTTGAGTGCCTTCAGTTTCCACCTGGGCTTTAATCTCACTGTGAGTCTCTGTGTGGGGCAGATAGTGAACAATGCCACCCTTGTTCACACTGAGGGATGCCATGTCAGGATCTCCATCAACGTTCATCGGACTGAAAGACTAAGATTAAGAGGCTGTCCAAGTTCAAATACCAGTGTACACAGGATATTCTGTTTCAATTTGTATAATGGAGAAGATGTGCTTCAGAAGCTGGAGCAACTGTATTTGGTCTCATTTCAAAAGAAACAAGCATTGTAATATAGGTGGTAGAAAGTAGGAAACCTTCTAGAATGTCTAGTTTTTTGTGTTGTTGTTTGTTTGAGACAAAGTTTCACTTTGTCATCCTCGGTAGAGTGCTGTAGCTTCACAGCCCACAGCAACCTCCAACCCTTGGGCTTAAGTGACACTCTTGCCACAGCCTCCCAAGTAGCTGGGACTAAAGGAGCCTGCCACAATGCCCAACTATTTTTTTTGTTGTTGTGGTTGCCATTGTTGTTTTAGCTGGCCCAGGTTGGGTTCCAACCACCAGCTTTGGTGTATGCGGCCAGCGCCCTACCCACTGAGCTACAGGTGCTGCCCTTCTAGAATGGGTAGTAGCAGGAAATTAGTTAAATAAATTATTCTATATCTCACAGGATGTTATGAATGTATGAAAATGATATTTCTACTGGCAGAGAGAAATGATATAACGTTAAGAAAAGAACATTGCTGGGTGGCGCCTATGGCTGAGTGAGTAGGGCGCCAGCCCCATATACTGAGGGTGGTGGGTTCAAACCCAGCTCCGGCCAAACTGTAACAATGAAAAAAAATAGCTGGGCATTGTGGTGGGCACCTGTAGTCCCAGCTACTCAGGAGGCTGAGGCGAGAGAATCACCTAAGACCAGGAGCTGGAGGTTTCTGTGAGCTGTGACAGCACAGCACTCTAGAGGGCAACAAAGTGAGACTCTGTCTCTGAAAAAAATAAATAAATAAATAAAAGAAAAAGAAAAGAACATTGCAGGCTGGGTGCTATGGCTCATGCCTGTAATCCTAGCACTTTGGGAGGTTAAGGCAAAAGGATTGCTCGAGACCAGCAGTTTAAGATTTTATCTCTACAAAAAATAGAGAAAAAAACTAACTAGGCATGGTGGCACAGGCCTGTAGTCCCAGGTACTGGGATGGGAGCTGGGGGCTGAGGCAAGAGGATTGCTTGAGCCCAGTAGTTTGAGGTTGCTGTAGGCTATGATGCCTCGGCACTCTACCAAGGGCAACAGACAAAAACAAAAAACAAATAATCAGATTTGAAGGATATCATTTGCTTTGCTTTTCTCATTTTATAATTTTATTTATTTTGCTAGACAGGCTTTTGTAATTTATTTGATAATAGACTGTATTTATTGAGCAGCCACTAGGCATCAGGCATACGGTCTCCTATTTACTTCTGAAAGTAAGTTGTCTAAAGATGTGGGAACTCAGAGAGAGCAGGCATCTTACCCAGCATTGTAAAATTAAGAATCCATTTGCGCCAGCCTGCTTACAGACCCAACCTCATCTTCTTCCATGGGACAAGTTAGGCTAACCTAAGAGCAGTGGAATGAGGGGAAAGGCTGCTACCCTGAAGGCCTCCGGATGCCCTGGGAAGACTCTAAGCATAATTGGGTACTAGGTTTAGGTCAGCATCACTCATTCTGAGATCCACAGGCTGCTCATATGTGTTCTTTCCTTGTCAGGTTTAGCCCTGGGCCTGGGCCTGGGCC